AACCTCTGTTCCGTTTAGTTAAATGTACAATACTTGCATTACCTTGCCCTGGAATGAGCGTACGGATGCAGTCTCGGATGAAAGTCTTGATGGTTTGGAAGTTCGGTGGTGTAGGAGTCGCGATCACCTTCTTCCGGGTTTGAAGAGTGATTAACTCCAAAGATGTTCTGACTTGATGGTGATTGGGAGTTTCTTCTCAGTGGAAAGTGAAAAAGAGCTAAGAGAGACATCAGCTGAGATCCTAGGATCTTTGGTGAATGTAAAGACAAGGTCGAAGCCTGGTGCAGACTTAAGAGTTGCAGAAGCGTTCTAGCTCGCATCCTCATCTTCTCAGAATCTAACAGAACCGCAGACTGACTGAGGCGGGTCACTGATGTGAGAGTTTTATCTCCTATTGAGCTCACACCTCCGGGAGGTCACAGAGCCAATGGTGACTTTCACTTTTGGAGGGAAAGTTTATGACTCTTTGTCTTAGAGAAGGGGTGTCCAAACTCAGTCCTGGAGGGCCGGTGTTCTGAAGAGTTTAGCTCCAACCCCAATTAAACACACCTGAACCAGCTAATCAAGCTCTAACTAGGCATACTAGAAACTTAAAAGCAGGTGTGTTGACGCAAGTTGGAGCTAAACTCTGCAGGACACCGGCCCTCCAGGACCGAGTTTGGGCACCCCTGTCTTAGAGCATGGTATTTTTCATATGTAATTTGATTGGGTGTTGATGCAAAAACTTCTAAAGATTCTTAGAACACTAATATGTTGCTTAGGTATAAACATATAATATACACTCTCAATTAGATCATCCGAAGACAAATTCATAGAGACCAAACATGGTATATGTAAGGTTACATGAATGAGTGGTTCTATCATAAGCATGCATAAAACAGTATACAATACAAAAGACAATATACAAGAACAGTAACAACATACACAATTACCTGAAGTAAATGTGTGTTCATTCAAAGAAAGGTTTTCCTATGCATTAATTAGAGAATAGTCCATTTTTATGGGCATTATGTGTCTGTTTTAGAGAGACTCGAGTAAGAGTTGATTCTCTCTACATACTTTTAGGTCGTAAAAGTTTATCTCATCTGGCTGAGGGGTCCTGGTTGCCATGGTAACCAGGGGCCTGGGGTCGTTCCCAGACATGCTGGCACCCAGTATGTTTATTGGGTGAGGGGTCTGTGATTATTTGTTAATCTAATAAATAATTGATTTGTTAAATCTAATGAACAAATGTGTGTCTGATTGGTCCAAATGCTACAAAAGGCTTGGAGGGGCCAGGACAATTTTTAATATACCTCTGATTGGATTCGTCTGAAAAAAGAAAGTTACATACACCTAGGATGCTTTGAGGGTGAGTAAAACACAGGCTAATATTCATTTTGGGTGAACTAACCCTTTAAACTGCATTTGGACCCACTGCCTATTGCCTACTTATGCTTATTCGTAACAACAACCCACCCTGGCAGTGGGGTAAATTGTAACAAAGACACTCCATATATTTGACATCAACTTTTAAGGGCTGTAATATTCTTGCAGAGGATTCAATTGGTGCCTTTTATAGAGAACAAACATGGATGTTTTGTATAAGTTTGAGCACTCTATAGCTCAAATTCTGTGAGTTACAGATGCTGAAACAAAAAGTGTTACAACCATACCCGGTCTCCCCTACCGATTATGTTGCACACCTTGTGTCTGGTAAGCTATTTTCTTTTATGTTGTTATGTAAAGGTTACGTTTGTCCATGTTTAATGCTTATAGCTATGTGAAAGTAAGTGTATAATTGTAACAGTTCATTGCTGGAGCTGAGCGGAATGAGAGAGAGAGAGATGCAGAGTGTGTGCAGGGCAAGGGAACGCGAGGAACGGTATTAAGGACCACTGCTTTAGAACATTGATTTTGAAACTTTCAAAAGTTTTGCATTTGTGAATCCATTAGAATCGTTAAAAGACAGAATCGCGATTCATATATGAATAGATTTTTATGTGCACCTCTAGTTTTCTCTTCCTCTTCTCTAAAGCAGCACAGGCCTCGCCCCCTTTGCTGCCTTTTCCCGAGGGCGGGGTTTATCTGGGTTTGTGATGTCACGAACCCGGGAAGTAACTTGTTGTAGTCCCTACCAACCGTTTTTCTAGGCATTAAACTGCCAGAATTTTAAAAGACGATATCTCCGTTTGCATTGATCTTTCCGCTTCGTAACTTTGCAGATATTGTTTATGCTCAAACAGCAACATTACACACTAACTAATGTTAAAAATGTGAAATCGCAATGAACCACCCCTTTAAATATTTTTTTCCATCAGATTAAAAATGGATTATTAATCACTCAAACACCTTTATCTAAACCATTCAGTCGCCGGTCTAACAAATCTGCCATGTTTTTTAACACTTTGTGTAGTTCTAATCGAATCCTCATCCAACATGCAATGGGTTGTGGGTAATATTAGCTGTTAGAGTGTGCACGGATCTGCACTTCAAATTTCCACTGGAAAAACAAAAATCAACTGGGTACCTTTGGGGTACTCATTTTAACATCCTACGATTTGGGAAACACTTTGAATTTCGAATACTATTCAGGACGGTTAGTATGCAAATTGGGACGACCTGCTAGTTAGGTAACCCACTGTAATAATTTAAAGGTGCTATGTACTGTCCAATTTTTGTACAAATGTGTACAAATATAGAATCAGCAAACTACTATTTACTATGTAAAGGTATAGTATGCACTGCGAGAAATGTAATAATGATTTTTAAAAAACAAGGCAAAATGAGGGAACAAAAAGTCAAACTACTGTATATCAAGATAAAGAAAAAAAGAAGAAACAACAATAGAATGAAACAAAGCAGCGGAAATACATGTTAAGGTGGCAAAGAAGGTTCCTCAAAAATGCCATGGGATGTAGGGTGGGGTAAGTTGAGCAATCCCCTTTAGGAACATTTGCATCATTTTAGTATGTTCAAGATGTGCTATCTTGCTGTTTGCAATCAAAAGAAAGGTCATGGGAAAGTATTTTATGCCAAAAACTGAGTTACTGTGCATGTCAAACATTATGTCTCCCACACTGGACCTCACAAAGACTGAACAGCTACTACATTTGCTGAAACATAATTAACATTCTCTGTATTAGTAAATGTGGCCCTGGACCACAAAACCAGTCATAAGGGTAAGTTTTTTAAAATTGAGATGTATACACCATCCCGAAGCTGAATAAATAAGCTTTCCATTGATGTATGGTTTGTTATGATAGTACAATATTTGTACTATCATAACAAACCATACATCAATGATAGTACAATATTTGGCCGAGATACAACTATTTGAAAATCTGGAATCTGAGGGTGCAAAACAAATTAAAATGTTGAGAAAATCATCTTTAAAGTTGTCCAAATGAAGTTCTTAGCAATACATATTACTAATTAAAAATTGAGTTTTGATATATTTACAGTAGGAAATTTACAAAATATCTTCATGGAACATCTTTACTTAATATCCTAATGATTTTTGGCATAAAAGAAAAATCTATCATTCTGACCCATACCATGTATTTTTGGCTATTGCTACAAATATACCCCAGCAACTTAAGACTGATTTTGTGGTCCAGGGTCAAGCCTCAAAGACATTTGTTAATGTTTAGGTTGATATTATGTTTAAATGTTTAACCAGAGCAAAATTACCCCAAATCATCACCAAAATGTTTTTGGATCATAGCTTCTTCTTATTGGGGGATTGAAGCATTATCAGGATTTTCTAGCAACTCCATGTTTAAACTGCTTCGAGGTGGATCAAAATCTTGATCACAATATGAGTCCATTTCAACCACAGTAAACTAGATATACAGTCAAACCAAAATTTATTCAGACACCTTCAACATTTCTCACATTATCAGTTTATTTGCTATAGTTTAGAAAATGGTAATAAACTACGACAAGAACTCAGAGTTACACTGTGTCAGAACAAATTCAGCTTGATGATGTCAGATTACTCTGATAGAAAGGTATGTAACAAAACATGGTCAGGACAAAGTGTCAAATCAAATTTTTGGTCCCAAATTTTTATCAATTTTACTGATAGTCCACTGTGTGAAGAATTTTTGGGTAAAATATGTCAGTTTACTTTATTTTGCTATCCTCACTTACATAAATGAACTATAGTGTCCTGCACCCACAAGTAAAAATTTATTACTGAAATCATTACAAGTATGTAATTATGTCTAGGGGTTGTGCAACCCTAAATAGGTCTAAACAAGCGTCTAATGGTGAAACCACATAGCACTAATCTCCCACTGCCTCTGTTGTTTGAATTTTAAATGCCCTTGCTGAGCTTGCTCAATTCTTAAATAATAGCATTAATTTAAAAATAATATAAAATTAGTTTTTTTCCTAATATTTTTATTTTAATAGAAATAAATAGTGTATAATTTAGATGTGAATGTTGATCAAATAGTTATGAAACTCGTATTCTACTCCCACGACAATAGCTGAAAGATGCCATTAAAACAGCATTACTGTTTCCTCTGTAAATTGATTCAGAGTCAACAGCTCATTTGTTAGTTACAAAATACTCTAGAATGGAGTATATTGTTAAATGTTTGCTCCAGTATATTTAAAGGTGTCATGAACTTCCTCTGTTTTTTATTTGGTACTGTTCTCTGAGGTCCACTTATAATGTCATCAAGATTTTTACATCAAGAACATCATAATTTAGAGGTAATAGGCTATTTTCTGTCCTGTTTTTAACCCCCCTCATCAGAACGCTCTGTTTGAATATAGGCGTGGCGGATTGTAGACTTGGAAGTAAACGCCCACTGCTATGATTGGCTAACAGTTGTGCATGTTTGTCAGCCTACATCCTTCACAGATGGACACTGCTGTGATTTAGGTTAAAGGGGTCATATGATGCGATTTCAATTTTTCCTTTCTCTTTGGAGTGTTACAAGCTCTTGGTGCATAAAGAAGATCTGTAAAGTTGCAAAGACTAAAGTCTCAAACACATTACTGTCAGATCCAATATAATCGGCACAGCACTGAGTTTTAGTTTCAATCTTTCTGAAAATCCTGCATCGAATTGGGAAAAAAGTATTTGCAAGATATTACTTCTCATATCTACTTTTTTTCGCTTATTGCCTTTATAACCTACAACTGAACATGATTCCAAATAGTGAGAATCCAAATATTGTTACTAAAAAAATTTTTTTTTCTTGTTTACATAAGTAATTATCATACGTTTCTTCTTATAAAACATTTTTATTTGTATAGTATATTTTTCTGACTTTTTTACAGTGTGACAAGCTAAATATAACCCCATGGTGTATTGTTTTATTTCATAAAATGTAACATCAGAATGTCACAGACAAAAAAATATCAGGACACAAAGGATACATTATACAGAGAAAATGCAAGCTCTATATTCAGTACAGTGTGTCTCAGTGTAGAACGTGAAGAGCTGCTGGATTCAGTGCAGCAGGATGAAGGAGAGCAGAGAACCGCAGAGGAACAGGAAGCTCTGAGTGACACTCTCAGCACTGTTACACAGGTTCCCCTCACAACATGAGATGCCCTGAACTTCACCAACTGATGCTGCTGCATCACAAATAGATTTAGAGACACAGCCTTTTACAACTATTGACTGGTCTCCAAAATTCCCTGAAGAAAGTAAAGAAAACACAGGTAAGTCTAAGCTGGAAATTGGTAAATGTGAGCTGTCTCAAAATCTCAATCATAAGAGAGATAAAATAACCACTTTTTCTCTTCCATATTCTCACCTGTTGCTTTAACACAGCGGTCTTCACCCCCTGTGCAGCTCAATATTTTTAAGCAGCTCTGTCCATCACAAGAGTAACATTTCATTCCATTGGAGGCGCTAGTGCTGGGATCTACAGGATGAAAAAAAAGTATTATTGTATTTTCTGTACAAAATATAACATGTAATGAAATAACACTCTTTTAGCTGCTCCATTCAATTAATTCACAACTGAAAAGCTGCACTCTCTATTTTATTTCCTGATTGAATGTCCTTTGGAAGTAAAATGAGTGTTGACTTTAAAGATCATTTGCAATTGGTCAGTAAAGCACAATACCTGGAGCATCTTGGACGTTACACCGGTCTGTGTTACAGCACACTGAAGATGTCATTATAACACCGAGGTTCATGGATCCACTTACACAGCCAACAGCACAATCTTTAGCCTTCACTTTAGCTCTAATGTCACCTAAAACATGAATGATTCAGGAAAGACCAGTTCAACTGCACATTATTTTGATTGTAAATATAATTTTAAACATCAAAATGTAGCATTTTTCTCATTTCAAATATTGATTCGATTTTAATACAAGTTGTATTGTTTACATACAATTTTGTGAGAAAACAAATTCAATAGAAATCTGAATAGAATATTCTGTGATTAGATTTGTAAATTCTGTGAGGAAATTAGCAGTTTTGTCAGAAGTTACATTTCCAGTAAAAAAAAAAAAACACCAGCATCTCCATCAGTCAAAAATAACAGTGAATTTCAATCCATCATATTGGACTTACCAACTTGTGTTACAGCCGTTGAACTCATGCATTTAGAAGATCCACTGGAACACGTTTTTACGTTTTGATTCGCACAAGAACCCGTCAGACTCATACACTCATAACAGCTGAGAGAGTGTCCTTTAGTAATAAAAGAGAGAGAGGTAGCGAGAGAGACATCAGTGATCCATATTTATACTCAATAGCATAACAAACACTATTTGTCTTTGTACCTGCAGTGAAGAGACTGAATAGAAGAAAAACTGAGATTTGCAGATCCATCTTTGATCAGGAGGTGAATGAAATGGGTGCCTCTCTCAGTGCTCACTTTATAGCTTCTTGAAGGGGAGGGTCTTTATGAGAAAATGAAAGTTTAACAGAAGTAGACATATCTCTTTGTGTTCTGCATAAGAAAGTAAGTCATACATAAATTGTGTATAAGCTTTATTTATTTACTTTTTTAATAAGAAAAAATAAGACAAGAGACAGAAAACAAACACACAAGGACAAACATATGAACAATAAAATAAATAGTGCAAAGAAGTTTGACAGCCTTTCAATGTAAATAATAATATTTAAAATAAACTGATGTAAAATATACAGATATAGTATATTCATGTTTCTTTTCAAATTGATTGATTTAGGCTATGTTGACACTTGGTGTATTTTTTGAAGCTGCCAGCATTTGTTTTACATTATGGAGTAAACCGTGTCCTGAGCGACTTTTATAAATGCCACCGCCGGCATCTTTTTCAGCAGCTCAGAGCATCTATTCAAGTTGAAAAATGTTAGGACGTGTTCACACTTGCCATCTTTTTTGACAAGAAAAAGTTGACAAGGGCACTCTTTTAGTAAAAACAAAAAAAACAAAACAAAAAAAACTGGTAACGTTTTGGTTACAAATAGCAGCCGAGAGTGTCTTTTGTTGCTATAACATCAGCTGCAATAGTACAAAAAATAATGATGATAATCTTAATAAAATAAAGTACAAAAGAGAAAAATACAATGAAAGGGAGAGAGAGGGAAAGGGGGGATGGGGAGTGAACAGTTTTGGCTCCTGCACACTGGGTGGGACATGAAATATCGTGTTTACAGAACCATGAGTTTCCTTTTCTTGGAAATCATGCATGATCAGATGTGAGATATTGGAAAAACTGAGCATGTAATGACACAGAACACAACAGACTGAGTTATTTTGATCACATTCTCAAGCACATGACTAAAATTTGTGTGAAAATTTTTATTAATATTATTATTATCAGGTCCAAAAAAGTAAAAATATCCATCCATGCATTTTCCAAGCCTGTTGTAGGGCCTCTTTGTAGGGTTATGTGGATGCTGAAGACTCTGAAGATGCTCTGATTGCATTCACCTGTGGACACAACATCAAAGGACTCTTTAAAAGAGGTGTGCGACACAGAGAAGAGTTACTTGTGGGGTATGTTTTGCTGTCTCTCGGGGGCAATAGGCCCTCTGGAGATGTTAGTTAGACTGCTGTGTGTGAGAGAGTTGAGTCGGGGGGGGGGGGGGGGGGGTTCTTAGAATCCAACATTTGTGGCTACTAAGATGACTTGCTTTCTTGTGTTATGCCATTACTATAATGCAGCGCTACCAAAACTCACCAAATGCTTTGGAGACGTCGCCTGGGCAGGTGCATCCCCCATCCTACAGCAAGATGAAAAACAGATGAGTCCCACAAATACATGAACAAAGATTCTGTGTCTACAAAGCATGCAAGCAGCAGGGTGGGTCTGTTACTTTTCAATGTTATCACTATAAAGCCTGACATAATGTCAGAAAAACCATTTGTTTAAAGGGGTCATGAACTGAAAAAACCAAATTCCCTTGATCTTTTGACATATGAGAGGTCATTGTACTATAAAAAACACCCAGTAAGTTTCAGAACTCAACATTTTCTGGTTAGTCTAAAAATAGTTTACATATATTGAAGGCAGAAACATTTCAAAATACACTGTCATTTTTGCTCATAAAGGTAAGAGTAATACATTGTTCGGAACCCAGTAAGTTTCAGAACTCAACATTTTCTGGTTAGTCTAAAAATAGTTTACATATATTGAAGGCAGAAACATTTCAAAATACGCTGTCATTTTTGCTCATAAAGGTAAGAGTAATACATTGTTCGGAACTGTAAAGGGTATACTTTTATTTGTGCACACACAATATCAACAAAATGTGCTTTTTTAAAAATAAAGTAGAAAAAAAGTAGAAATGCGCTTTCTGCAGTTTCGGTTTTCAGCTTCCGAGCGCTTCTGATAAACCGAAACACAGCGAATACTTGCCTCACTGACTTGATAAATATATCTAGCTATAGAAAGCTTTGAATGACTACTTTAAAACGAAATAATTCAAATCGAAAACAAAAACTCTTTCATTATAAAATCCCAAAAGATGCATTTCTCTCTAAAGGCGCATCCAATGAGGAGATGGCGAGTCAGGATCATCATCAAATGCATGGATGATTCAAAATGCAGCTTTTCCCGAAGCATTGGTAACTTTTAGTAACTCCCCACGCTCCACCTTCTCCCTGATGCTCTGCGTGGTCAACTGTCACCTGTATGTTAATGCGTGCGTATATGCGTTGCGTATTGCGTAGGCGATGTACAATATTTATAATATAATCAATATAACAATATTTCATACAATAGCCTCTGTGTGCTCTGCGCGTATATGGGCACAATAAAAGGAGAGAAGCTAAATTCGAGACCCGACACAGTCTTAGCACAATGGCTGTATGAACCAGTTTCAGAAATGTTAGTCATACCACAGTAGAACCAATAGAACAATGAAACTAACCTGCTCATTTTAGATGCTTTCACTTCCATACTCAAGATGTAAACTCATTCTCTATCTTTGATCAATCTTTTGCAAGGCAAACATGGACTTTTGTTTAGGCACGTATGCAATGTGTGTCTGTGGTCTTGTTGCTATTGCTAAGTAGAACAAAAATCATGATGTTATTTGTAAGTCTCTATAGAGAGTGTGCGTTGAATATTGTAAATCTAAACCTTTTTTAGCATATCTTATTATCCAGTCTACAATGGGCATCTTGAAGGCAACCCATACAAGCCGGATTGTTGGCTTGTATGCAGTTTGTTTCACAAATGTCAATTTTTGAAGCAATTAAGCAATCATGCACAAGACAGAGTTTTATTTGTGAAGATACAAAATAGCCTGCACTGCACATATTGGTGGATTGTATAGCTTACAAAACAGCATATGTAGTTGTGCACTGATAATGCATGCTTTTGTAGGTGTTCCAGAAAATATAGTATTTATGGTTCAGATTCATATGAATGGATGCATGTTGTGGAGAAGCAAGTTACACAATGGCATGAGTGGTCTTCTGAAATGAAAATTATTTATTATAACCTATTGTTTTATATTAACATTTGAATGTTAACCTGTAACGTGTCTAAACATGCATGTTTGTAGTTGAATGATAATGTTTACTTTGTTTTATTGCTATGAACTGAATGTATGAAACCAACTGCTGAAAAAAACAACAACTTGGTTTAGCAAACTCTTATTAAAACTGTAATTTTTTTTTTTAATTCTTTGTTATATTTTAAAACAGCTTTTAGGAAAATACATTTACATACAAAGAAGGAAGGTGAAAAGATATATAAAAGGAAATGTGGTCTTGATTGCAGATATCATTGCTATACAAAATTGCTGCAAATACTGCAAACTCATTGCAATTTTGTCTTTTATCATGTTGCAGTATTTTGTTTATTATTTGCTTAATAAAACACAGATCCAAAGCACAATAAAGAGCAGCAGAACAACAAAACAAGATTTATTTAGTCAAGTATGAATAGAAATGCATGCGACATTCAGTTTTGTGGTGGTCTTTGCTACAGCTGTAGAATCTGAAGCGCATCTGCACTCAGTGAAACAGGAAGAGCAGAGACAAACCAGTAACTATTTGTTCAATGTGAGGGCCGTATATACTTGAATATGACCAGTCATTTATGGCGTCATCACCCGGGTGTTGTTAAATTCATTTAAGCCTTGCCAGTTTAAACATTCAACAGCCAGAAGACGCTAATGAGAACTCCAGCACACACTGGTGACTAGATGTGCCACTTCCTGGAGACACATTCTAAATTGCCTAAAATAACCAGGTTTTGGCGGTGCAGATTGATCATTGTATGACATCAATTTTGACAGTGAACTTAAAGATACCAAGCCTAAAGGCATAGTCATACGTTCACAACCTGATTGGTTGGGTTGAATGACATATATTTCGTGACGGAACTTACCGAATAACCCAATCAATAGGTGTGTTTGACCTAAATCGGCCGCTTTAACTCGAACACACCTAATGCCGCCTGATGGACTAAGTGCGCTCATTGTTGTGTGTACATATGATTTTATTTTCATCACCTGCAAACTCACAAAGAGCTCATAAAAAGGCACTTTACCTCCTCGTTGCTCCATGCTTGCCCTCTGCTCATTTTGTTTTGGATACATTTACATTTAGTAATTTAGCAGACGCTTTTATCCAAAGCGACTTACAGTTGGGGGATACATAAAGCGATTCTTCTTAAAGAGGCAAACAGACACAGGAAGTGCTTGTAATACCAAGTTTTTAGACATTATTCAAATAAGTACAAGCTATAAAAAGAAGGAATAAATAAAGAGAGAGAATATATATATATATATTTTTTTTTTTTATGATGATGATGATGATGAAGTCAAGTAGCTTTGAAACAGATGAGTTTTCACCGGTCGCTTGAAAATTGTCAGGGACTCAGCATTCCGGATAGGGGTGGGAAGATCGTTCCACCAGCCAGGAATGGTGAACGAGAATGTTCTGGAAAGTGATTTTGAGCCTCTCTGTGATGGTACCACGAGGCGTCGCTCACTAGCGGATCTCAGACTTCTGGATCACGGGCGTCGGCGACGTGTCGGCGATTCCCTCAGATCGCTTCTTTGATAATTCACACTGCTAACGAGCACCGATTTCCCTCCAATTTCGGGCATTTGTCAGCGATTTCGCAAAACCTGTCGGCGATTGAAAAATCGGGCTAAAATCGTGCAGTGTGAACTCGGCATAAGGGATAACGGTAACATAATACGCTGATCGTGGGCTGTTATTTATAAAACAATTTTATAATGAAATGAGATTAATGATTTATACAACATTTTTCATATAGAAATATGTAATGACAAAATGAAATGATAGGCCTACTTTATGATACGTATGAAAGTAATATCGCCACTAGGTGGCGGTAAGTCATTGTGTTAACAAAGAAGCCTTTTATTCAATCTATTCGTTCAA